CAAAACAACAGAACGTGGAACTTATTTAACCAAACATAATTCTCATTCATCAAGGAATAACAAGTGTAATATCCACTAAAGCACAGCTTAAGTATATAACACCAACAAAAGCTTCGTAAATTATCATATTTTATATTCTTTTGGGATACATGTCTAGTTTGTGCACATTTTGTTCTTCAGCATTGGGCGTTAACACAAATAGCCATGGCCATTTGGCGGGCCGAGTATGGGTTGTTGGGCCTGAAACACGTACTCAGAATTGGCTTGGATGTAGCAACGGGCCAGTTCGTCGTCCATCGTTTCCAGGTCGGTCCACCGAATCATAGGGAAAAATAAATAAATAAATACCTGGCCCGTCTCAGCCCGAACTAGCCCGTCGAGTCTAAAAATTTATACAGAAGGCTTGGAACTGCCCGATCAAACTACAGGCTCAGGTCTGAGCCCATTGACCACGGGCCGATTTAGGGTCAGGTCCGGGTCGAACTGGTGGGTCGGGCCGACCCGTGGCCATGACTAAGCACATAATTATTTTAACAGTCCCGAGTCTTTGTGGGATAAGCTAAAAAGTACATTCGACGATTTGTGCCTCGACCGCTATCCGAACGTAGCGTTGTTAAATTTTAATATTAAAAATCTTCTATGAGGATAATTGTAATGTAGTTCAAACTCCGAATAATCATATTAAAAATGTTTTTATGACAACATGGTCGATGATTTATGAATATTTATATACCCCAAGCCCGAGAAGAAAGGTAAGGAAGCGAAGTTGTATCGGTTCTTTTTCCTTGCCCTTGGGCAATAGCCAGCCGCATTCATTAGCGAAAACAAGGACTAGACTACTGACGAGAAAGGCAGGAGCATGACTGGGAGGGAGGTGAATGAAGGGAGCGCTCGCCAGTATATATCATAAAAACAAGGAGTAGACTACTGACGAGAAAGGCAGGAGCATGACTGGGAGGGAGGTGAATGAAGGGAGCGCTCACCAGTATATATCATAAATAAATTTGAACAAAATGATATTATATTACGATTTTTATTAATGTACTCTAAATCCAAAATTCTAATTTCAACCAATATTTATTCAATGGTTGGACCATACATTTAATTTACTAATATAATATATATATAGTAGTTTTTATAATAAATTTATATAAAAGATATTAATTGAATATATGGACAACTTAAAATTTTTAAATAATTAAATTATTTGATATACTTTATAATTCTTCATTTTATTTAATGTAATTTTTTACTTTATATTGAAATTAATTTTAAATCTAACAAAATTCATTTAAAAAATCATATTGATCCTACCTGTCCGATCGACTATTGTTGGTCAATTTGTTACACTTTTATCAAGTAAACCTAACCGGTTGATAAACCGATTCCCAGTCCATTCTGCTGGACAGTCAGTCCGATCCGACTTCGAAAAACAATGGGTTAATCATGATAATTATATTTATATATTTAATTTATAACACAATTCGTTAGTATTATTTTCCAATGCATCGGGCCACATAATATAACTAATTTAAATTCCAGAGATAATCAAGCTACCACAACAGCGTCAAGGCCTGAAACCAAATATTTCGAACGAAGACGCATACATAAGCTTCCAATAGGAGAATACTCGTATATTTGATTCAAAAAGACCCCTGTATATCTAAATGGATATCCCAAAAAAAAAAAAAAAC